GAGCAGTACAGGCTGCTTGCTGTTTAGTAGATTGCATGGTGAGTGGGTCATAAGGAAGGATTCAAACCTCACTTATAATAATCGTTAGATCTGAAAGACTGTAATGTAAACACTGCATTTTCTCAGAAAAGTCTGTTTACAGCAAAAATTGTTGAAGGGAATGATTATACTCACCAGAACAAATACAATAAGCTGTAGTTGTTCTGGTGACTATAGTGTCCCTTTAAATACAAATTTCACACATGTCAGTGTCCCTTAGGCAGCCCCTGGTGTTGTGAGCCGTGCTGGCCCTATGGTGCCCCTGTCGCCATGGCGCCCTTTGCATCCGTACAACTCTAGGGCCAGCCCTGGTGTCAACATATTCCGCAGCTCTGTACAATACTAAACAAGACAAACATTTAATTCTAACAAAACTTGTGTGACATACGGGAACAGTAGGAGAAGAGATTCCTGTCCATATGAACTCACAATCTACCTTCATTAACCAGTTCCTCAACATTTTGTCATAGTGTATGTACTTTGTTTGACATGTTACTTTCACAATTTTTCTTTCTTAAGAAAACAGGTGGAAATTCTTTAGAAGTGAGGACATCAAAAAAACCTCTATGCAAACAGATTGAAATTGTAAGATTCTCAATGAAAATAAGTTATTTAAAAGTTCTACTAGATAAAGAAAATGTTTGATTCCCCACACAACAGAGAGGGATGGTGAATGGGGAAATCACCAAATGGAAACTACGTGATAAAGAAAGGTTCTGATGGTATTTAAGAGTGCACACAAATATTGGTCAAATAATTAATATGAGAAACTGCTTAGAGAGTACATAAAACTCCAGAATGAAAACTGGTACGTAAGAAGTAACAGAACTCCATGACTGGTGTTGTCCAATACAAAAATGTCAGTCCACCATATGTCTCTTGCTACTTGCTAGCCACATTGTGAAAAAGTGTGTTTTCAAATGATGTGGTCGCATCTAACATTTCATATAAAGGATATTGCTTATAGAAAAAAAACATAATTTTCACAGCTTTACAGGAAATCCATATATTCAGTTAAGAAAGCATATCAATTAAACTGTTAGCAGGTTTTTATCCCCCACCACCCATTCCTCTTCTCCTGCAACTGTCAAAATTACCTACTAAACCCTCAGTGAATACTTTTCTAACAACCTACTTTTCCCCTTTGTATCACTATACCCTACTTCTTTTAGAATGTAAGCTCATTGAGCAGGGCCCTGCACCCCTCTGTTCCTGTACGTCCAGTTGTCTGGTTACAATTACATCTCTGTTAGTCCACCCATTGTGCAGCTCTACGGAACCTGATATAAATAATAAAATAATAATTAGTTGCAAGGATAATAATCATCCTCATAATGGGGGGTAAAATGGGGAACTGGGGGACACCCAATAAAATTTTCACATTTTAAAAAGCAATCCTGCTCACCTGCACTACCACTGGGCAATACCTCCGTGATTTTAAATGCAGTTAAAAGTGATCACTGCTGAGAAGTTGAAACGTAAGAAGAATGTATCCCCAACTACCCAGTTCATAAGATTGTCAGATGTTATCTAAATCATTAGACATTTACTTACAAAATTAGTTTTTGCTAAGGTTGTTTTCAGTAAGTTATATTATGTGGATCAACAGGGTTTTCCAATTTAAATTACAGTGTGCTTAGTATCTAGGTAATAATGACATAACAGTTTCAGTTTACTGATGAAGATAGACAGAGTAATGGGGTAGTGGGGTAATACTTGGGGCACAGGGTGAATGGTACAACTTTGTTTACCATAGAGATTATGAGTTACCACAAAGACAAAAAAAAAAAAAAGAGGGCATGCACCTGTTCCACATAGAAGTCTCATCAATTAACTGCAATCTTTAAGTTTGGATTCCAATATTGTTGAATGGGTAAGGCTGTGGCTGAGTGAAAGGCAACAGAGGGTTGTAGTCAATGGAGTATATTCGAAGCACGGTCTTGTCACCTGTGGGGTACCTCAGGGATCTGTATGTGCAAAATGGTCAGAGCTATGGCAGCTGACATTTAATGTGGATAAGTGCAAGATATTGCATAAGGTCTTGATGGTTAGGTATGTCTTTTTGCTGATCATACTAAAATTTGCAACAGGGTTGATGTTCCAGGAGGGATAAATCAAATGGCAAATGATTTAGAAAAATTAGAAAAAATGGTCAGAGCTGTTGCAACTGACATTTAATGTGGATAAGTGCAAGATAATGCACCATGGACGTAAAAACCCAAGGGCAGAGTATAGGATCTTTGATACCCTACTAACCTCAACATCTGAGGAAAGGGATTTAGGAGTAATTATTTCAGATGACTTAAAGGTAGGAAGACAATGTAATAGAGCAGCAGGAAATGCTAGCAGAATGCTTGGTTGTATAGGGAGAGGTATTAGCAGTAGAAAGAGGGAAGTGCTCATGCCATTGTACAGAACTCTGGTGAGACCTCACTTGGAGTATTGTACTCAGTACTGGAGACCGTATCTCCAGTGGGATATTGATACTTTAGAGAGAGTTCAGAGAAGGGATACTAAACTGGTTCATGGATTGCAGGATAAAACTTACAAGGAAAGGTTAAAGGAACTTAACATGTATAGCTTAGAGGAAAGACAAGACGGGGGGGTGGGGGTGGAGATATGATAGAAACATTTAAATACATAAAGGGAATCAACACAGTAAAGGAGGAGACTATATTTAAAAGAAGGAGAATTACCACAACAAGAGGACATTGTCTTAAATTAGAGGGGCAAAGGTTTAGAAATAATATCAGGAAGTATTACTTTACTGTGAGGGTTGTTGGATGCATGGAATAGCCTTCCAGCTGAAGTGGTAGAGGTTAATACTGTGAGGGAGTTTAAGCATGCGTGGGATAGGCATAAGGCTTATAAGATAAGGCCAGGGACTAATTAAAAGTATTTCTGAAATATTGGGCAGACTAGATGGGCCGAATGGTTCTTATCTGCCGTCACATTCTATGTTTCTATGTTTCAATATGCATAAAAGTGCAACATGGGTGTATATTAGAAAGTCATGCAAGATACCATCTCAGAAAAAATGCAGGGGGAGTATACACTTTGACACCAAAGTTTTGACATCAACAGTGGGGGAACTCTTCCTCAAGCAGGGTTAATCACAGCAGACAGGTGTTACAATAGTGAAATACCTATAGAACTCTGTGAATGGCCGCACTAAAACTAGGAGCAGCATGTGAGTAATGCTATAAAAGCTCCCAAAACACGTATCAAGTATCACTATTATAAATTCTATATTTACTGCTTATTATGACAGGTTCAGTCAGGTCCTCAAAAATGTCAATAGATAGGAGCTGCCATTTTGTCCTTGTAATTCTTTTCAATTCTCTAGGGGTACTTGGAAAAAGAAGGAACCAACAATTGTAAATTTTTTTAGTATATTTTAAGGCGATCCAAAAGATTGGATCCAAAAGAATATATCCAATATGTTTCTTAGACACCTAAAATAGTTAAGAAACAGCTAGACGGGGATTATTGTCACACATGGCGTGTTAATGTGGTAAAGTATTTAAATTTTTCCTTGTGTACAATAATGCCCCAAATTCATACTCTGCAACCACCCCTGAGTACAGTTATTCCTCGTTTCCACTGAGCGGAATGGTTCGGGTCGGTACGGTTTGGTACACTGTTTTGAGTGTTTCCATTATGAAAGTGGCCCATTTTACCAAACCAAGCCACACCATTCCTGGGCCCCCTTCAGTTGTAGGTCCATAGGAAATGGTACAGTACCGTTAGGGCGGAGCTACTGGTGTCACATGATACATTCCATTGATTGGCAGACAGAAAAACGTCTCTGCTCACGTCAAAGGCAAGCACGAAACAAACACTACGTCGCCGTTCAGTCCAGATAATAGGAGAAGGATGCCTGCAAACAATAGCAAGCTCTGGTCGGCTCAGGAACTATCCACCCTCCTAACTATAATTGGCGATAGCGTTATTCAGCATGAGCTTGATGGATTAGTGAGAAATTAAAAGGTGTATAAAAATATTTCTCAGCGGATGGCAGCCGAGGGATTTGAACGCACGTCAGTTCAGTGTAGGGCAGCTTAAGAAGCAATAAGGCCAATATAAGAAAAATTAAGGACACCAACAGCTGTAGTGGAAACAGTCAAAGTACTTGGAGGTGGTACAACGGCATGGACACCATTTACGGTCACAGGCCGGCAAACCAAGGCATGGAGGGAGCTCAGGTTTTTTCCACTTGGCATTGGCTTTAGCTCTGCTAAGCATTTATAAAAATCACTGCACAAAACCCTTTACTTTTTGCATAAAAACACATTTATTTGTAAAGTTGAATGAAAGTAGTTAGCATCTCATTGTTTACTAACTCAGCATCCCATTGTTTACTACCTGATGCTAACTGCCATTTAAGATAGTTAACCGTTAACATTGTGTATTATTCTCGTTGTTTGTGTATCAAACTCGTGATCTGTGCATTTTCAGATACAGTTGAGGGACTCTCCAGTGATACCTCAACCTTTTCCGACAATGGTCCGTCCACCGCCAGTACGATGGTGTCTTCACCGACCCAACCACAGATTATGCCCAATGCACCCCAGCAACCCCACACACTGGTAAGACATGATGAAAGTTGTAATTGTGCATTTTCCTAACTTTTAATTCACATTAAACTGTGAACTCACTCAAAACTAAACTCTGAACTCACTCAAAATTCCACTGTGTAGTTTTATGTTTGCATGATCAAATCCATAATCAGAATTATACATTGTCTGTATATACTGCTATTTAATTTTCTTCGTTGTGTTTTGAGCTTCTCTTGTATATATTGTGTTTATTGAGATTATTTTGATTTGTGTTACACGGTGTTATACAGTTCTCATGCGTTATATCTATTCTTTATTTACATTATCCTATATAATATATATCCACCTAGTTTTTGTACCAATGCTAAAAAAAACACTATTCTGGTCTTTTGTATAATCCAGGTGATAGGAGACAGTTGCAGCTGGATGAGCGCACAGTCATGGAGGAGATGCGGACAGCAGATGAAAGGATGGAGAACCTTTCTGAGAGGCAGTTTCAGGCACTGCGTCAGGAGGCCCAGGAAGTGAGGCGTCAGGAGGCAGCAGATGGAGCAGTTGGCTACCTTCAACCAGGCCTTCCTTGGTGTCCTTGGGCAGGTTGTTCAAGTGTTGGGAGTCAGTCGTGATCACAGTGCCTTTCAGCCAGCACAGGACCTGTACACTTTTTTTTTAATTGATTTTTATCTTTTGTAAAAATAGTTTTTTATTTTTTGTAAAAATTATTTTAAATTTTTTGTAAAAATGGTTTATTTGTAAATATTTTTCTTTTAATTTTTTTTATTTTTTTATTTGTAATTTTATTTTTAAAGATTATTTTTTCTTTAATAAAAAGCTGGAGAGACTGTTGGTGTGTCTGAGTAAATGTAAAACCTGAAACAAATCATGGTATAAAATTAAATGTTGAGGTGCCGCATCAGAGCCTGACGTACTTCACTGCACTCTTCTTCGCTTTCCCTTGCTATTACCCATACAGGCTCTTCTGCAGACATATCCCATTGCTGGTGGAAGTCTTCTCCATGACTTTCACAAAGATTGTGAAGAGCACAGCAAGTAAGCACCATGGATGTGACAAGTTCAATGTCACTGTCATTCCTCTTCATAAGACACAGCCATCTACTCTTAAGTCACCCCGAACGCATTTTCATCTACGACCCGTGCCCTGGATGTTTTCTTGTTGTAGGTTTGTTTTTTTGGTGTGTCATTGACAGGAAATGGTTTCAGGAGCTAGTTCTGTAAAGGGTAGGCAGAGTCCCCCAGAATATAATAGCCAACATTCACCCACCCCCCCCAATGTTCTTAGTGCAAACAGGGTACAGGCCTCCCTGCTCAACCAAGTCTCAAAATGTGGACAATCATAGAACCCGAGCGTCATGCAAACTCCCAGGCTTCCCTACATTCACACTCCAGAATAGTCCTTTTCTCCATCCACTTCTCCCTAGAGGATGATGCAATGCCAGCCTTTTCTGTTAAAGTAGTCAGTGTTGTATTCTTGTGGTTCTATTATTGGTATGTGTGACCCATCAATAGCACAACACACTGTGGAAGGCCCCACCTATTCTCAAAGTAGTCAGCCATGTCTTTAAGCATTTCCCTGTCCGGAAAATGAATAATTTCATGAACTAACAATGTGCAGACAGCCTTACAGAAGTCCTGCACACACCGGCACACTGATGATTTACTGACACCAAAAAGATGACCGATACGTCTGTATTCACTGTTGGTAGCCAGCTTCCACAGTGCAATGGCAACTCTTTTCCTCACAGGCAAACTGGCTCTGAAGTTGGTGCTTTGCTTCTCCATTGCTGGACGTAGCCTTGCACAAAGGTATGAAAATGTTTCCTCTGACACTCTGAAATTGGGCACCCACTGTGTGTGTGTGACTCCTGGGATGGCCACATCCCACCACTCATTGGCGCGGCGGAGAGCCCAAATGACTGGTGCTTTAACAAAAGGAGAAGCATCTAAAAAAGAACAATACACAGATGGTGCAGATAACTTTAATACACCATATCACTATGAAGTCAAATATAATACAACATAATATACTTTACACAAACAGCTAGCATCATGTATAAAAGCAAGCAACATCTTTGTCTTTGACCCAAGCCAGAAGTTTTCTTCTCTTTTCGGCTGTGTTTCTCTTCACCGCTCGCAACCTTGTCTCATACAGTGCGGCATGTATTGTAACTACAAAGAACCAAAAGCCAAGCAGAGCAAAGACGAGCCGCTGGATGACCTCCATTGTTGTTCTTTGTAGTGTCACGTTTGTTGTCGCACTAGTGTGACGCCACGCTAGGCATTTGGTCTAAACTCCGCAAGCCCCCTGGTGTTTCAACTTGCAGTGGAAATGCTCACCTGAATAGGCTGGACCATTCTAACTCTTCCAAACCGTACCGACCTGAACCGTTCCGCTCAGTGGAAACAAGGCATAATACTCCATATGACTTGGCTCCTTTTTTTATATGTGTGGTTTAATTATCTGTATAGTTGCTTTTGAAATTATACTTTTGTTATGTTTTTTGAGATATCTTCTTTCCTTTATTGGGCAAATCAAAGCAAGACCTGCTACCAAGGTGTGTTGTCCTCAGGATTTGGGGGGCCCGGCAACCCGGTCAGTCACTTTCTCTCAGCTTACTCCACACAGGAGGGAGGAAAGGCAGATCTGAGCCATAAAGGAGGGAGAGCCAGCCAACTCCCATCAGCCCCAGCCACCCTCCTGCATCAAAAAGGTAAGAAACAGGAGGGTATGTATACAAGAAAAGAACAATTACTTAACACCTAAATGTAGGAAAGTGAAAAAGACCACTTATCTCAATGGATAGTGATGACAGCTTCCTCCAGGGATATCCCAGGAATAATACCTTTAAATACCAAATGAATACAAATGGAAGGAGGATACAGCTGCAGATCTACAATATGAATAAAAAACAAATAATAGTGTAACACTGTTAAATGAGTGTGAATACGCTATGTAGAATATCACTCACTAGAAGGATGAAAGAATATCGCCCAAGGGTGCCTCCCCTGATGTAGATGCGGGGTAAAACCAGTCAGTATGTGTGTCAGTGTGTGTATTCTGTGTCAATGTGTATGAGCGTCTGTATCTCTGTGTCAGTGGGGTATATCTGTGTCTGTGTCAGTGGGGTATATCCGTGTGTGTAACTATGTGTCATTGTGTGTGTCTGTATTTGCGTGTGTGTCTAAGTATCTGTGTGTGTATATGTATAAGTGTTTGTGTGGAAATGTATACATTGCACTCAAATGCATGCCTAGATTCAAACACCAATATCCGCACACGTCCATACAAAAACATGCTTACATTCAAACATAAATTGTTTGTGTACACATATATACGCATGCATACATACACACACACACACATATATATATTTATTTTATTTTTATATATACACACACACACATTTATACATACATATTAATACACATATATATGCATATACAGTGAGGGAAAAAAGTATTTGATCCCCTGCTGATTCTGAACATTTGCCCACTGACAAAGAAATGATCAGTCTATAAGTTTAATGGTAGGTGTATTTTAACAGTGAGAGACAGAATCTAGAAAAAAAGAAATCCAGAAAAACACGTAAAAAAAGTTATAAATTGATTTGCATGTCAATGAGTGAAATAAGTATTTGACCCCTTCAAACCAGAGGGACGCAATCATGAAACACCGGTGAAGCTGAGTGGTGTTTAATGACGGCGTCCCTCCGGTTCGGTACACACTTTGTGCGGCTTGATTTCTAGGACTTTTAAGGAACAAGCTGCTCTGACGAAGTGGTAATATTTCACTGAGAACATACTGCCTGTCTGTGTTTCGTTGGATTGATGCTATTATTAGTGGTTACCGGAGTTTATAACCGCTATAGTTTATCGTGTAAGATTTTTCAATAAGGGGTTGGGCATTTTTTTTGTTAGTGACTAAACCACACAGTGTTACACTATTTTCTGTTTATTTGTATCTTTTTAAGGTACACCAGAGTGTTTTTGTTTAATGTTTTTTTTAGGCACAAAACTCACTCATGTCATTGTGAATGGTCCTGTTCAGATGGAGCAAGCATGCGAGACATGAGAGGTGTGCCATCATAGGTCTATGCAAACTTCATTATTATCACATTAATCATATAAAGGAGCATTCACAGAGATAAGAATGGGAGAAAGAAGAGGTGTTTCATATGGACTCCATTGCTGCTAATGACAACCAGTGCATGTGATGAATGTAATGATCACTAGATCACTTTACTTGTGCATGGCAACTTGGGGTGATTGGTGGCTCGTATTTCTGTCTTGAGGCTTGTGAGATTTAGGTAATTTACTATTTGGATTACTGTTTGCCTTATCCTGTTACTTTGTATATTTTTGTATTAATTGTTTCATGTATACTTATTAAACATTTGTATTATTATTTGTGATTGTTATAGTGTGCATTGTGTATCCTATATAAACTGAAAAATGAAACATGCTATATTTGACCCTGTAACTTTCCAAAACACCATAATACCTGTACATTGAGGGCACTGTTGTACTCGTTAAACTTTGCTGAATACAAATATGTGCATTTTATTGCAGTAAAAGTCAACAGTATTATGACATTCACTTTTAAAATGCCACGCAGAACTAAAAAAAAAATGAAAAATCTTAATTTCTCACACTTTTTTAAGATTTTATTCATAATAAATTATGTTTCATATATGAATAGTTCATGTGAAAAGAAAGCCATGTTTCTCCTGAACAAAATGATATATAAGAAGTTTGGGTGCACTCCTAATCACAAACCATTCATACCAACTTACCCCATGAAGGCAAACGAGTAAACAATCCAGTAACCCCTAACCGACAACCTATTCGCAGGCCTATATTCAGAGCACTTTCCGATATATTAGATAGTTAGCTGTCTGAATCTCAAACCAATTCAGTAATAACGGCAGCCATAAATATTGCTTCTTATGGTTCCCTACACCAACAGGAATTTACAGTAGAAATATTATCAGTTTAATCCAAGACTCCCTTGCAGTAGTAACATCACTGCAAAATTGAGATTTCTGTGGGAAAAGCAAATCTTATGGCTTGACTGGTGTGCAGATATGTGTTTAACAATGTATTGACTATTTATCTACATATATACATATATATAAATACAGGGCTGGACTGGGGATACAAAGCCGAAACAAAAAACAAGATGGCTGCCGTGAGTCTTGCGATACTCACGAGATCCAAGTTGTCTTATGTACAATGGTCAGTGAGGCCTGCATCTGCAGTCCCACCAACTATCGTAAGTATAGCACTCTGCACCCACACCACCCACAGAATCCCCCAATAAGCTCTAAATAGAGACCATAAACTGGCAGAGTAGAGCGAGGGGGTTTAACCCTGGGGCCAAGTTAGGAGTTAGCTGGGGAGGGGAGAATTGGCTTACCTCCTCCTCCTGATACTGCTGTGATGGTAGCTGGGGATCTGGACAGGCTGTCCAGCATCCCTGTGGGTCAGGCACAGAGACCACAGTCCCATATGCGCTGTCTAGAAGATTGGTTTCTCCCCTTGGTAGGGAAAGCTGCCGCTGGGGAGAGAGGGTGATGTGCTCCTCTCCCTGAATCACAGGCTGCTGCTGGAGAGGGAGACCGACTGTCTCTGTTCCTTGTAGGAACTGCTGCTGGGGGGGGAAGGACAACAGCTTCGGCCCCCTAGAACTCACACTGCCGCTGGGGAGGAAGGACGACACCTTCGGCTCTCTGTAACTCACCCTGCCGCTGGGGAGGAAGGAGGCACCTTCGGCTCCCTGGAACTCACACTGCTGCTGGTGTGGAAGGACCACACCTTCAGCTCCCTGTAACTCGCACTGCAGCTGGGGAGGAAGGACGGCACCTTCGGCTCCCTGGGACTCACTCTGCCGCTGGGGAGGAAGGATGACACCTTCGGCTCCCTGTAACTCGCACTACCACTGGGGAAGAAGGACGGCACCTTCGGCTCCCTGGGACTCACTATGCCGCTGGGGAGGAAGGACGACACCTTTGGCTCCCTGTAACTCGCACTGCCGCTGGGGAGGAAGGACGGCACCTTGGGCTCCCTGTAACTCGCACTGCCGCTGAAGAGGAAACATAGAAACATAGAAACATAGAATGTGACGGCAGATAAGAACCATTCGGCCCATCTAGTCTGCCCAATTTTCTAAATACTTTCATTAGTCCCTAGCCTTATCTTATAGTTAGGATAGCCTTATGCCTATCCCACGCATACTTAAACTCCTTTACTGTGTTAACCTCTACCACTTCAGCTGGAAGGCTATTCCATGCATCCACTACCCTCTCAGTATAGTAATACTTCCTGATATTATTTTTAAACCTTTGTCCCTCTAAGTTAAGACTATGTCCTCTTGTTGTGGTACACCTTCGGCTCCCTGTAACTCGCACTGCCTCTGGGGAGGAAGGACGACACCTTCGGCTCACTGGAACTCGCACTGCCGCTGGAGACTGGGTGTCCATATCCTCAACCTCCACAGTTTCTGCTCAAAGACTATTGCCGCACTGTTCTCAGCACTCAACTGGCGCATCACTTGGTAGACCACCTCGTTTGAAGGGTCTGGGCCATAGCAGACCAACCGCCTCTTTACCTCCTCAAGGTAAGCGTCACCCTCGTAGCGACGTATCAGGTGGAGGTGCTCTTCGTAGGGTTCTATCCATGCTCGCTCCATGCTGCTGAAGATAGGGATGCTGCCCAGTGGCTAGCGTTGCCCTCAATAACCTCTCATACGATACCAGTGTCTCCGAGCTGCTCCGAGCAGACGCCATCCCACCGCTACCACCAATGTAACGGAGCTCCCCGTACTGCGACCGAGTATCCTCCGTTGATGGACGCTTCCTAGTTTGCGCTGAGGACCACAAGCACCGCACCAGACACCACAACCACCGCAACCGCTGTAGCTTGACTTCCTTCCACCCTGGATCAGCTTCTGTCCTCCAGGACCGTGTGGGAAAGACCTCTTCCTTCCACCCTGTATGAACCTCCAGCATCCAGACCTGTGCGGGGAAGACCCCTCCTCCAAGGAGAGCGTGTCAGGAACAAACTCTTAAAAGAGCTAAGTGATTCAAGCTCAGGGGAGCATGCAGATTATAGCAATCCCCAGTGTGTTTATAACAGCTCCTTCCAATAACGAGACAAGGCTATCTTTAGAGGGATCAAGGAGAACTGTCTAAACCTTTATTTTACTTGGGACTAGCCCATATGGTTATCACATTAACATTGCTGTGAAAACTCAATAAAATCACAAACAGTCAAATCATATGAGGCAACAAACAGTGATTTATCACAACACAATGGCACATTTCCAAATAGGTGGGGGAGACAAAAACTAACAGAAAATATCTCACGTGTCTGCAGAATTAGCAATATGCAAATCTACCCGAATATGCAAATGAACCAGTCTTGCTATTCGGGTAGTGCATATTGCTGTTGCTACCAACAGAGGGCACTAGACAAGCTCCATAGCCAAATCCACCTAGTTGGTAGCAAACCTCAGCAGTACAGGAGAGCAGGCAATACATTACACAGTATACACACACACTAGAAACAATTACATTACACACACCCTGCACCTATAATGGGTACAGGGTGACTAAAACATAAGAGAAATAAAGCAAGCTACATAAATAGTCTGTCTGAAGGTAGAATAGGGGCTTTAAACCCAAATACATCAAAGAGTCATAGTCACAGGGGAGGAGGCTGGCAAGCAGGCCTCTCCAGGACCAAGTGGCGAAGGGCCCTTCGTCACAGGGGCTAAATAAGATCAGCATCAAGTAAATGAGAGAACACCGATATGACAAATAAAACGGAATTTTAGCAAAACACTGTAAGAAAATTGCAAGGATAAAATACTCTGACCTGTGCAGCAAGGGCAGCAAAGAAAGAGGAGGAACTTAGGCTAGCAGGGCCTTTTATGGAATGTGTAGCTGTTTTTTGATTGGTTGTTCTGTTTGTGATCTGTGCAGCTGGAGTTTTCAGTAAAGAGAGATGCAGGATATGAAGCCTCCTGTCACAAATTATTGCTGTTGAGCTCTGTTATACACTCAGACACAGCAACAATATGAAGATTCTAGAAAATAAGGATATTAGGATAGAAAAGGTGTTCAGTTGGGTTTGGGCCCAAAATAGGTACTGTCCCTCCTAAATATACTTGGAAGTTATGCCTTCCTTTGTATACTATGTTAATAAAACATTCTCTTGCAAGAGTTTAAGTTCCAAAGACGCAAGGTTATGATTAGCATCACTCTTCCTGGAAGAGTGAGTGCAGGTCAAAATCATTGTCGACCACATAAAATAAATTCCACATATTTGTCTTTTTATTTGACCCAGAAGAATGCTGATGCAGACATGAGTGTGATTAGACAGGTCAAATAACTTGGTCTTAAGAGTATTAGTATGTATTATTCACTGCTTCAGTATTGTACATTGTTCCAGATTCACTCAGAGGTCAATTAGAATAAGCAAATCGTCAATAATATGCTGATGTCCTAAAGCAGTGTAAGTCCCATAGTTTGTACCACATTACAAAGATTATGCCACTCCGCAGCATAGATATATATCCGTAGTCAGCATAAAACAGGATAAATTACACATGCCTATTCATTTCAAAATAAATATGACTCACAAGTGACTTAGCACATTCTCTTGTGAGCGCTTATTGTTAGAGGTGTTATATTTGTGGAAGGTTATCTCCAGAATTCACTGCTACCTAGTCTTTAGTCTACTTGAGCAAATAGCTGATGGTGATATGATACAGATTAGATAAAGTACAGGGCACAAATATATTGTGCAAGCACAACTTGGGTTAATTTAACTTTACATGGAAACAGTCTATGGGATGTAGATGCATTCCAAGGTTGCAGCAAACTCCATAATCTAATGCCCAGTCTCATTCTTATTGGAGTATTCACAATAAAAATAAAAAAAAACAATGTACACTATATGGAGAAATGTTTTGGAACACACCTCTTAATTAATGAATTCAGATGTTTTAATCAGACCCATTGCCACAGGCAGTGGTGGATCCGGGAGGGGGGCAACGGGGTAATTTCCCCTCCTGAGAAAACAGTGCAGCTCCTATTGGGGAACTACCTCGTCAGAGGCCCATTCGGGTGCTGCAGGGCAGGCCCCTTTAATGTTGCAGAGAGTGCTGGGAGGAAGTGACTGTTACTTCCTCCTAGCATTCACACCGCACGGGCTGGGAGGACACTGATGAAGCAACTGAGAGATTAGGAGGAGACAGGAGTGAGAGCTCTGCTGCTTCTCCTTCACACTCCCATCATCATCAGCCACCTCACTGCAAACAAAAGGTGTGGGAGCAGAGGATAAACAAATGTAAATTGCAATTTGCGTGTTTGCCCATGTGTATGTTTAGGTATGTGTGTATCTGTGTGTCAGTGAGTATCTTTGAGTATGTCTGTGTGTCAGTGTGTGTATATGTGAGTGTCAGTGTATATATGTGTGTCTGTGTATCTGTGAGTGTCTGTGCATCTGTGAGTATGTGTGTGGATCTATGTGTGTGTGTGTCAGTGTGTGTGTGTATCTGTGAGTGTCAGTGTATATATGTGAGTGTCTATGTATCTGTGAGTGTCAGTGTGTATCTGTGTAGGACTAGGTATGTGTGTATCTGTGTGCAGGGACGTATTAGCCGCGAGGCAAACAAGGCATTTGCCTTGGGCGGCATTTTCCAGGGGGCAGCACAAAACCAGGATACACCACTCTCTGTATGTGTGTGTGTAGTTATGTGTGTCTGTATCTGTTTGTCTGTGTGTAGGTGTATGTGTTTATGTGTTAGTGAGTGCAAGTGCGTGTGAGTGTCAGTGTGTATCTGTGAGTATGTGTGTGTGTCAAGGTTAATACTCCCCAACACGCAAACCAGGGAACAATAAAGGAGAACACAGATAGACGTATTACCGGACCTTAAAGTGGCCGGACTTAATGTAGGAACGAGATATAAGAATAGTCAAACGCGCCAAGTTCAGGAATACAGAGATACGGGAAAGCGAAATAGACAGAGCCAAGGTCAGGGAGCCAGAAAAGAGAATAACCGATAAACAAGCCAAAGTCAGGAACCAGAGAAAAGACAACTACTCAGAACGCACTCTCGGGCTATAATAAACCACGACAGGGCAAGGAAGTGATGTCAGAAGGAGGTTAATATAGGGCAAGGTGAATACTGACAGGCAGGGACAGAATTGAGGGAGGTATAAATAGATAGTGGCAATAGGCTACTATCTCTTTAATATTGGATTCTACGTCAACCCTGCTGGTTACCTTGTGCAGGGGTGACGTTACCTCCTGTTGGGTGGTGTGGATCTCTGGCGGGCGGGCGGGCGCGCGCGCGTCTGGGAGGGCATCCGGGGGACGTGCGCGCGCCCGCCAGAGATCCACACCGCCCAACAGGAGAGGACCGACGGCGAGACCGGGATGGCGCGGGACACCAGGTATGATAGTATCTGTGAGTATGTGTGTATCTATGTGTGTATGTCAGTATGTTTATCTGTGTGTATGTGCAGATATTTGTGTGTGTATTTGTGTGCCAGTGTGTGTATTTGTGTATCTGTGTGCCAGTGCATGTATCTGTTCGTGCATGTGTAGGTATGTGTATCTGTGTGTGTCAGTGTGTGTAAGTGTAGGTATGTGTGGTGTGTATCCGTGTGTGTGCCTGTTTAGGCATATGTTTGTATCTGTGTGTGTGCCAGTGTATGTGTCTGTGAAGGTATATGTTTGAGTCAGTGTGTATGTGTCAGTGTGGGTACATGTGTGTATCTGTATGTTATTGTGTTTCTGTGTTCCTGTGTGTATTCACATATGTGTACTGTCTCCTATCCCCTATACTAGAACCCCCTAACCCTCCGCTACATCACTTTTCACCCCGCCACAGCCCACCAAAATCAAACACCTAGCCATACAGTCTGCATTCAACATTTGTGATAAAAATGGGTAGTTCTGAAGAGCTCAGTGAATTCTAATGTGGTACTGTGCCACATTTTGTAAAACTACATCACTGCTACATATTCCACAGTTAACTGTAAAAAATTATTGGAAACAGGAAGCGCTTAGAAACAGCAGCAACTCAGCCACGAAGTGGAAGATCACCGAAAAGTCACATGGTGCGTAAAAGTCCCCAACACTGCTGATTTCCTAGCTGAAGAGTTCCAAACTTCCACTGGCATTAATATAAGGACAAAAACTCTGAAGCGAAAGCTTCATGGCGTGGGTTCTCATTGCCGAAAAACTGTATGCAAGCCTTATATCACCAAGTACAAAGCGACGTGTTGCATAGAGTGGTCCAAGCTCTAAATCAGTGCAAACATGTTCCGTGAAGTGACGAATCACGTTTCTCTGTTTGGCAGTCTGATGGGAGAGTCTGGATTTGGAGGATGCCAGGAGAACTTTACCTGCCTGACTGCATTGTGCCAACTGTAGGTAGGTAGAGGAGGGGAAATGGTATGGGGCTGTTTTTAGGGGTTGCGTTAGGCCCTTTTTTTCCAGTGAAGGGAAATCTTAAGGCTTCAGCATATCAAGACATTTTGGACAATGCTATGCTTCTGACTTTGTGGGAACTGTACCGCAGTGTCAAAAGCAAGGTCCATGAAAGCCTGGTTGGGTGAGTTTGGTGAGGAAGAACTTGACTGGATAGCACAGAGCCCTGACCTTAACCCCATTGAACACCTCTGGGATGACTGGAAGAGAGATTGCGAGCCAGGTCTTCTCATCCAATATCAGTGACTGACCTAACAAATACTCTACTGGATGAATAGACAAAACTTCACACAGAAACAGTACACAATCTTATTGAAAACCTTCCCAAACGAAGCTGTCAGAGCTGCAAAGGAGGGGACCAACTACATCTTAATGTCTATGTATTGAGAATGCAATGTCATTAAAGTCCCTGTTGGTGTAATGGCCAAGTGTCGCAATATTTTTGTTCGTATAGTGTATTTTATTTACACAAACAATTAAACTAATTTCTAAATACAGTGACTGCAGGTTTAACACACTATCACAATAATTGCATATAATTTTCATGGACAGATGGTTTGAAATCAGAGTAGGGTTGACTGTAAGGTAACTTTAGGCAGCTGCCAGGGCCTAGGAGTTAGAAGTTGGCTCTGCTTGACCTCATTTGCCATCCCTATGTGAAGAATAAAGGGGGAATAAAACCAGAGCCTAGTTCCCTATGGGATTTTAATCCTTCTCTGTTCAATACCATTCTGTACAGTCAGAAGACATATGTACTATCAGCTAGCATGTGATCTTACACTGTCCAGAGATGCCTTCATTTCAGTAAAGGTCCTGGACATACATGGCTTTAGCTGAATGACCCTAATGGGAGTTGCACTTCCTGCCACATCTGAAGTTTGCAGTTGTTGTCACTAATTCTTTCCTGCTCACTGTACTAGGCATATCAACAAGGAGAGAGAGAAAGAACTGATGGCGGCAGCCAGGCAGGAGTTTGAAAGGGGATCCCAATATATGACTAACTAATAACAGTGTATGCAACACATATTTAATTTAAAACCAAGTATTTTATTTACAAGAGAGACAGCAGTGTGAGTATTATTGCTCATGTATAGACTCACACACCAATATATGGAGCTTCTAGATAGAGGGAAAGGGGGGCAGAGGGATTTTAACCTAAATTAGGTCCTTCCTAAATAGGGGCACTTAGGAGCTAATCCACCTCTCCATCTTAACCTTGGTTTGTTCTTCATCACCCCATTTCTTGTGTGCTTCTGTCATTCTTGTCTTCCTTGTTTGTTTCTGTCAATCTGTGCCCCATTATGTGTCTCATTCTGTACTTTCTGCCCGTACTGTGGCTTCTTCACAAATTTGGTTCCTTCCTTCCACTCCCTTCCCCCCTTGGGACACCTTCCACCCTCTTTTTGTGTCAATTTCTGTCTTCTCTTTGGTGGCACCTATCCCACCTTTAGCGACTTCCATCTGTTTTCACAGTGTATACAGATTGCACATCCCTAATAAAGGAACAAACAGAATTAACAAGGATTGACAATCTACATAGATAAATTAAAAAGACTAAATTAATTTTAAAAAGCAATATACATAAATAAATAACTGAAACATGAAATATACATAATGATGAAATATGCGTTAGAAAATAATGCCACTTTGAGATTCTAGAGTCATTAATTAATGCTCGGTATTGTGGTTTATTATGTCACCAGGACCTTATTTGTGGTATTATTCACCCATAATACACACTTCTTTGCGTATTGTCTGTTTAATGTGGTATTTATTTTTGTAAAGTCCTGTGATATTCTTAGATACACCGCATGTTGTGAGCAGTAAGAAATCAGAAAAGAGACACAGGGAGTTAGACAATACAGCTACTACCTACATTAGAGAGATGCATAGGAAGTATCAGATTTGGCTACCTTCCTTGTCTTACCTACTCAATGTGCAAGTTTTTATCTGACACTTTAATTCAAGAGGCTTGAATTGTGTCTACTGCATAGCACACATTTATGAATCATAAGCTGAGTACAGTATTTTATAGACTGATGGTCTCTACATTTTTGCTGGTATCACAGACACATTATGTAGCTAATTGTTTTTAATTTAAATAGGTGCATAATGATGTACATGCAAATAAGAGAAGAAATGCAGTACCACGATCTGGTAATACAATCTAAAGCAGTAAAATCAGATGATTACATGCTCAGAAAGTATTATAGAATCCATTACTATCTGATATATGAAAACAATTTCATACAGCTTAGTGTGCACCTGGTATGTAATATGACATACAAACTACCGTATATATATTCTATAATAGATCTCTCACATTAAGAAATAATTTATCGTCTTGTCTACATTTACAGTGTCACCGTCTGTAGATCATCCTCTACAAACCTTCATATATGTGTACGCACGCACTCTGTGTTTCATTGTACATGTAAGGAGTACACATATTGACAGTTTGTGCACAGTCTTAAAGATAATCACTTTCAGTCTCACAGGTAATTAATATGTCAAAGTCTGTGCTATTAATCATTCTTCTAAGATTCCCCTCTATAGATCAGTTCCGTCTAGCCGTGGACAGCTTGATTATTTGCTATGTGGCTGCAAATGCTGCTTAGGGGTAGCTCTTCATTCCCTATGTTATTACTGTACTAACAGAAAAACTACTGGTATTTTATTCTTTAATACCTAAACAAACTACTGCAAAAACATTTATTCAGAATGCAGTAGTGTTCCCTGCTAGGAATGTTGTACCTCTTCAGTCTTTTGTTTACCCGATTCTAATACCTAACCCTATGAGTCACATCTGTGCCAGCTTTGGAGCTTTATTGCCTCTAGAACAGCACTTACCACATTACTAACATTTTTATTATAGAATTTCATCAAGAATTGTGTCATCCTTCAGCAGTCAGCATTTTCATCTGTTAACGCATTATGTTTTTCATCAATGATGTTATTTCCGCATGCCCACTACATCTGCAGATGAAAAAAAGCTCTTTGCTTCATTAACTTATATTAAAGGCAAAACGGTTTATCCCTTGGTACCCCATCAATGGAACTCCCCAGTATTCAGCATTCAACAAACCTTGACCCAATATAATGTTGAAGTCACACCAAAGCAACATCTATTAAAGGAACACTCCAATAAAAAAATATATAGATTCCGATGCATGCATGTTTTCTTTAAAGGACCACTATAGGCACCCAGACCACTTCAGCTTAATGAAGTGGTCTGGGTGCCAGGTCCAGCTAGGATTAACCCTGTTTTCTATAAACAAAGCAGTTTCAGAGAAACTGCTATGTTTATAATAGGGTTTATCCAGCCTCTAGTGGCTGTCTCATTGACAGACGCTAGAGGCGCTTGCATGCTTCTCACTGTAATTTTCACAGTGAGAAGATGCCAGCGTCCACAGGAAAGCATTGATAATGCTTTCCTATGGACTGGCTGAATGCGTGCTCTGCTCCTGCCACTCATGCTCATTCAGCCGATGACGCCGCTATGGAGGAGGAGGAGAGTTCTCGGCGGAAGGGGGACCCTGAGGGTGGGGGCACCCTCAGGGCACTATAGTGCCAGGAAAACAAATAACTATAGTGGTCCTTTAAGGGTTAAATGAAATCTTGGCTTGCAATAGTTGCAGATGTTGTATCTGTAGCTATTGCATGCCCTTTCTATTGAAACCGACAAATTTATCAATTCTGATATAGGCCTCAATTACATTACAGCCAATCACGTTTATCAGCAGTTTTTCAATTCCTGATAAGTCATTTAACAGTTCAGATCACTGTATTTTTCTATGTATAGGACTATGTTTTTTTCTAAATTATCTTAATCTAAAATTGGTGGTCGTCTAATACACGGAATGTCACTGCAGGGGCTAAAAAAAAAACACCTGCGCGCGGGCCTAAGTGAAGATGGCGCCTGCCGTATTTCAGTGTGCCATGACACACACACCTGGCTTCCCTCACGCCGATCCACTTCTAAATGCTGCGGCAAGGAGGAAGAGGTCCCTATATGCATGGAAGCTGAAGCAGACATCAGCATTTACCAACAACGGAGCTCCAGAGACATGCCACGCCATAAAAGGAGCAGCCATATAAAGGTTTGCTCCACCTCTTGCTTTCTGATTTATATTTATGGGGGAGGAAATGGGGATCAGGGAGCAGAGGGAATACTGCTGTGATGTCCCAGCATGCCCTCACACCACCTGCTTTATTGTGTGAGCTGTAGTTTCCCAGCATGAACTATAGAGCCATTAACTTTACAGAGTACCATAGCACAGGGGAGGCATGAGAATCAGAAGTGTGTTGTTCTCCTCAGAATTCACCTCTAAAATATCAGTGTTGTTCTATTTGATGTTTAAAACATAGATTTCTTAATTTTGGGCTCAAAAAATAGGGAGCGTCTTTTACATGGAAAGATAAGGTAATTACAGCAGTTAAAGGCATATCCAGAGCTGTAAAATGTCTGTTCACATACTGAAGCCAAGCCTATATTTTAAACAAAAAATTTCCAAATTTTAACACCATTTAACAGGGGCATTGTAACTATGAAATGGGCCTATCAGATTTAACAACTAAAATTATTAAAATGCATTTTTTTACTACAATCAGAAACAAATAATTAGAATAAAAACCTATGGGTGTTAATATGACCACCAAATTAGTATACCAGAAGGTAAAAAAAATGGGTGTAAGTATACTAAACAGCAAGTAGCTAGGGCAGCTACTAGGCAGCAAGTATTGCTGCCCAGTAGCTATTAACAGTAGGGGGACCTGGCAGAGATCCCCACAAACCTGACCCGTTTGCATCAGATGGGGGCTGTAATATGGCACTGCCCACCCACATGCACCCACACTATGACTGTATTGATATAGTAATAATAATCACCAGGGGGAACGTAGTGTCCCCCAGACTCCACCAATGGGTGGCCAGTGGGGACATGCTATTGTTCACACTCTCCCAAAAAAATTATACCAGGTTTTAATAAGATAAAATCACACTTTCCACAAGGTGGTAAAAGATCCCCAGAGCCCTAGTTTCTCCAAAAATACAGTACCTACCACCTCACGCCAATAATAGTGAGAATGGCTCGTTAGACTGCTATTAGACATTTTTTTTCTTCAAATATAATTTTTAGTTGCAAAAAGGCCAAAACAAAGCCTCACCGCAACTGAAAAAAGGACCAGATCTAAAAAAAAAAGGACATGCTCGTCTATCGAGGGTTCTGTGCAAAGATCTCCCGTGAGTCAGTCCAGAGCCCTGTGCAAGAGAGTAATTATCTCATCACTAGCTCCCTCACAGCTATTCTACATTGCAGGGTACTATTAAAAATTCCAGCACCTTCAGCTACTCATTGTGCAAGAAAGCAAAGAGGTACAGATCTCCATACTCCCAAAAATATAGATAAAAAAGTTAACTCATCTGGAACTGTAACTACCAGATGCAAGAAATATATGCATAGCTATAAAGTGCCCTAATTCTTTAATTGAGAAATTGTCTATTATTTTCTTTTGTGTGCTTTTTAAGTGCAAACATAAATGTAAAACAGACATATATCAGTGTTTAGAAGTTTAAACATTTCTGTTTGGAGAAGACTTGTCAAAGATCGTAAACCTCATAGAGTAAGATGCACCTGATAATCTAGTGAACGGGGCTCATGGTCAAGCAAATGTACTCATGAAATTCTTTTCTTATTATGCAGCATTAACGGTTCTCTAAGTAAAGTCCCTATTCATTTTAATGTGGACTCAACTCAGCAGGGTAGTATTTATATGGCAGGTGCCTGTAGGAACAATTCTAAGTCACCTCCTGCTCTCCAACCCCAAAATAATGCGGATAAACAAAGTATAACAAAGTATAATGAGTATATTAACTGGACATTACAGGCCAAAAATATGTATTCATATTTTAGAATACTGATATATCGGTATATTTGATAAATGTATGTATGTGCATATTTCTGCTCTGCTTGTTATATATTGTGTTTGAATCTGTGAGTACAGTGACTGTATGCAGCTGTGTAAATGTATGCAGGGTTAAAATAATGTCAGAAATGTTTATAGTAAAGGGGGGGGTTAAGGTTAGACATCAGAGGTTTAGAATATTAACAGGCTGAGAAAGGTTAAAATTGTAGCATAAAATCTGTTTAGGAGTATTGAGTTGAGGTTTAGAATTGGGTTAAATTTAGTATTCGGGTACATGGGTGTTTAGTTTTGATTAAATAAATGGAACATAGGACTAAGGTAAAGGGTTTATTTTCAGGTTTAGGCTTTGAGTGTTGTTGTTTGAAGGGTTATTTGCAAATTACTCACCCTTCTATGTCTTCTGTAGACCATTCAGATAGATATCAGAGCTTCAGGAGTGGTTACATAGTGTGCATCACTAAAAGAATCCCCTGCTCCTCCTGCAAGGCATTTGCTGTGTGAGAGGCTGTTATTGGCAGATGGGAAGTGACCCCTTCCACTTCCTGTCCATCCTCACACACAGACACTGGAAGAGCTGGGATAGCATTGAGTATTATACCCTCCTGCAGCTCTGCTATTAAGGCTGACTAGACTAGACATCACACTAACCAATGGTCCTAGTACCGTACTTATCTCTCCACACCAGCCTATTTTAGCTTAAAAAAAGAAACATTATAGGTGCTTTAAAAAAGCTCCCCCTGGCGGACAGGCGCATATAGGCAGGTGCCTACTCTGACTATTGGGAGAAACGAACCTGACTCAGAAGCTCATAGCAGAAAGTGTGAAGTCTTGTGTTTACTATGGAGTTGGTGGAGAGTCACCAATCTCCTGAGCTTATATAATACTATGGAATCACCTCTTTGGGGTCTCTATAGAAACACTTTGGCTTTAATACTCCAGTGATCAGACAATGGGATATTATAAATGATATTTATTATGAATATCTGACATAAGAATTATCTGACTTTTAAAGAAAAATGACAGAAGCTTTGTTCATATGGCACAACTAAAGTCAATCTAGATTCTAGTTGACAAACTGCCAAGGAGCACAAACATGTCTGACTTCTGTCCCCAACTCTGTGCTTGTTCTGTTGCTTCCATCATTAACATAGATAAGGAAAGGAATTACTTAAAACAGAACTAGGGTTGAAGATCGACCTCATTCTTACTACTAAAGGGTCCACCTGATGGACCTTTATCCTGCAAATATAGAACACACAAACATTTTTGTTTCCCCGTATTTATTTACCTCTAGCAGAAGAGTTAAGGTTAGATAGAAAATAGGTTTCAATTGTAAATAAATATAATAAAACTACCATTTTAACAGTAAATAATAAAGTGATAACACAAAATGAAGACCATTTTAAACAATGTATTTGCAATAGTGCATGTGATTAAACACTTGTTTCTTGGGTAATATAAAAAAAAACATAGGTACATATTTTTATGTAATCGTAAGTAAATCCTCCTGAAATTCGATATGGATATCTATTGTTAAATAAAGTTCATTGCTTCAGTTTCAGGAATAGCCATATTTTTTTTTTTAATAAATAACAACCACTGTAGTTCAACAGAATGTAATCTATTTTATTTTTTTTAAAGGAAGAAAAAAATAATATGAAAACAACAAAAGCAATTCTTTACACTAGCAGTAAATAATTTTGTACAACCATTCAGTCCGTATAGTATGATGAAATAAATCTACATCTTTTTATTTTGGTGCTTTTCAATTATACATACAAACAACAATTACAGGAACTTGTTCACAATGCATTTAGGCCTGAAGAATGACTATCTGGGACTCCTTATTGGCAATATCCGTGTGTTAACGCTGATTGCCTGGGACTGATAGCACTTCCTAAGGAGAGGCCCACAGCCTGAATGTATGAACTGTCTACAACTTTATGCATCAAACAGCTTCCGCAACTTAAGGAAAACAGTGCTGGCAGTTAGTTCACTTACTTAGCCAAAAAGCCTAGCAGTCTACAAGTCTTAGGTTCCCTTGCCACATACTTGATTTCTTCCTGTAGTCCTTCATGCTCTTCAAAAAAAAATTGCCAAGGGGGAATAAAAGTCTCCAGATGTTTTTTTTTATATATATATTATAGAACCGTTTTATGCAATGTTCTGTATTTTGTTTTTTTGTTTTTTGTTCATTCACAGCACTAATAACCCTTCTGAATAGGGGAAGAAAAGTCTTTAAATGGCTTATTCACAAATGGGATCCAGATCCGGTGGTTGAGAATACATAGATGCCACAGTGAGTTCCTTTAAAAATGGCAAACACAATGCTGTGTAAGCTTTTAAATAACATGTTTCCATTGTTTAAGGGCTCATCAGTATGCAAAAAAAGCAAGCAGAGATGAAGTCCTAGTATAGACGGGTAGAATCTAACCCATGGCAGTGACCATATTGGAATGATGAGGTCCAAATGACAAGCCAGAAGAAGGATGCATTGGTGTTGGTGTGGTCAGCATATGGCTGGAGTGGCTAAAGGGTGAAATGTGACTGAGTGAAGACATGTGCCGGGAGAGAGCAGCAGGACTGAACGAACTGCTTTTCGGGTAATCATCCAGGCTGTCGTGCATCTTTTTGCTCTTTTTCGACTTGCTAGACATTTTTCGGTTTCTGGTCTGAATCCCTTCCTTCTTCATAGTCAAAGGTCTGTTAATCTAAACAAAAATCAATTATTTGTTTTTGTTTCTCATTCTTTAGTAGCTGTTGTAAAGTACTTGCATGCATGAAACATTTGGCAAAGTTTTTGGCAGCCACATTTTAAGTTAAAGACCTTCAAATCAATAGCAGACCCAAAAAGCCGAGAAGCTAATATTGAGTCTATAAAGAGAAACCACTATAAAGAGTGCAGTTCATTGTTTATCCAAAATCATTCTATTAGCGTTAATAGCTAAAGAATTCCATAATACCACTTGTTGCACACTACAAAGACTCATGCATATTTCTGAACATACTACAAATACTTTTCATAACATGTTAACAAGACAGATATATGTGTGTATGTGAAAGGCCAGATAGATAGAAAAGGACAGATAGATATAGAGACAGACAGATGTGAGTGTGTTTCTGTGCGTGTATATATGTGCATTTGTGTTTACATTAGCTCTGTGTGTGTGTGTGTGTGTGTGTGTGTTTGTGTGTGTGTGTGTGTGTGTGTGTGCATTTGTGTATACATTAGCTGTGTGTGTGAGTGCGTGAGTGCGCGCACAGTGGCAGCTAGGAAAGTTTAAAGATGTTAGAGATCTAGAATCTTAACCCAAAATTGGACTATACACCCTGACTTGTTTGCCTCTGCCCACATAACCTCATGTTCTCAACCCCCAAGCCAGTGGAACATTATGCTATAATTAACACTTTATGAAAAGTCAATATGTGATGTCACAAACCTTGTTAGAGAAGACTGAGCATGAGGGTTCAATAGCTAGAAAATAGACATTTATTTTGAAAATGATTCAAAATCTTGACATGCTTATTTGCTCAACCTATCTGTAGCAACTCCAGCCTGGAATAATAGTGGGGTAGGAAATTGCTTAATTAATTGTAAAAGACAGATGTTTTGAGGGTTTTTTTCTTCCAACTCTTATCATCACACATTACCCCAGCAACAGGTTATTTTTTTAATTATATTTCTTGCAAGAAAAACTGACTAGGCGCTACCTCACCTCCCCCAATGAACCAGCCTCCACTGTGTGTGTTTGTGTATGTATTTGAGTGTGTATGTATATGTTTCTGTGTGTTTATATAAACAAATGCACAAAGCCATTGTAAGTCATTGTAGGTCCTCAAATATAAATCCTGCAAATAGAATGTATAACAGTATTAATGTAACATGTTTGCATATGTTTGTGTGGAATGTACATTACATACATGTATGTGCACACATGTCATACATACATGCACCAATACCCACAAACATATATAAATCAATTTATAGTGTTATTCACACTGATATTGCAGATATTTATTATTATTTAAAAACACATAAATAACCTGGCCTCTGTTTAAAGTTCCCTATGCCAGTAAGGTTCTTATTATTCAGGAACTGTGACTCCTGAACAGCACATGCAGCATTTTACAGTTCAGTGATGTGAACCAGAATTAACACAAAAATCCCACACACTCCTAGGCTGAGTGTGTTTTACCGACAGCTGTCAGTTGCAGCTAGAAGTCAGTTCACTTATGGCCCGTCAACTTGTGCGATCTACTTCCCAAAGCAATGAGCTGATTAAATGAGGCTGGTGCCATGCACACAACAATTAACACATTCTTGTCAAATAGTTTTTCCTATGGTTTTTTTAATAAGGGACGACCGTAGCTTGTTGAGGTCATCTCATAAAACAGCAGTGAGCCTGTCAAGCAATTGTTCCTGATCCTCACAGAGGGCAACATGTCACCAAGTCCCCATTATAGAAGTAATTAGTTACGCATGTTGCCAAAGGTGGCCAGTGCAGAACGCAGCTCAGCACCTGCCTCAGAAGGGTTTCTTGTAACGCAGCAAGTTTTATGGATCCCTAAATCAGCAAAGAAATGTTCTCTGGGGGTCATTCACTAATAACTCACTAAAGCAGTTTTTATGAAGTATTTCCAAATTCTAGGCCAACTTCGCTCTTTTTCAAGCATAAAACAACAGTTCTCTACAGTTTCTGATATACTAAACAAACCCATTAGAATTTAGCAAGGGTCGACAGATAGTTGTAATAAATGCACTAATCAAATCCCTTAGTATATTCAATGCATTTTTGTTAGATATTTATCATTATAGATACGCAGAGATTACGAATATTTTTATAAATGCCACCATAATTAATATATACTATTACTTGCATAATGTATTTAGATAAACTAACAATATCAAATGATGGATTGGGTATCAGATCATAAGCAAAATAACAAGCAAGCATATAGACTGGATTCTCTCACTCCAAAGACATTAGAGGTTATATACAACACATGATTCGGGAGCAAAGTACTGAAAAGGGAGTAATTACCATGGCAACTACTGGAGTTGACTTCACAATTACTCCACTGATAGCACTTTCCACCAGTATTTAGACATAGCCCCTATTGTTCAGGGATTTCTGATTAGTCTGCAAAACCAGAAAGGTTTATTTTCTTACTGACTTTCTACCAGAGGAAAGGGGAGAACTAGTTAAAAAAAAAAGGGGTGGGCTGGCAGGAAAAACAACTGCAGGTAAAACCCGTGTGGATTTGACATTATCCACTAGTTTGTCGTTTAATAGGGTTTACTTACTAAACTCTAAATTGTAGCAAATTGAAACCAGAATGGCAAAATGTATGCTAAAATTGCTGAACTGGAAATTTTCCAACTCAAATATAACTACAGTGTGTATATTGTAGCCTAAATGTTTGCTACAATTCATATTTTAGTGAATAGATTGCAAGGTGTTAGATGGAAGTTGACATGCAACTATATATGTGTTTTTTTTATTTGTCTGTTGGTGTTTATTGGTGTATTATTCATTTTTTTGTTTTATAACTCTTCAGTAAAGTCTAAAACACATTTTTCTTGATTTCCAGTTACAATTGAATTATATATACATATATATATATATATATAGTTGTTGTAATACAGTCGTATGATAAATAATAGAATAAAATAGTGTGATTATGGCCTAGTTAAATATAATAGATTAGAAGAAGCTAGTGGAACACCTTCTAGTTGATTCTGCTCAGCTGGCAACCAATTTGTTAATCTTAGAAGCCGACAGCCAAATTTCGTAGGTGTCCAAAATCCTGAATTGTATTTGTCAATTCACCACAAGTCACCATTTAATAGCTATGCACTTTAGGTAAGGCATGTATCATGTTATATAGCAGTACATTTTAAAATACAAATTAAACGCTTAAGAATAAAATTCTGTTGAATTTAAATTTTAAAGTAAAAATTGCGAGCTAGGCTATTGGGTAAATATTCTGAAAGTGTTCTACAAATATATTCTTTAATGTTTTAAATAATAATATCAAATTTCTGGGTTGATTTTGTATAATGAAAATCCAAAGGTGTGTTCCTACAACCTGAGCGGTTTATTTCCTATTTTGGCATACTCATTTGGCACAATTTTGCTACATATTAAGATATAAAATTACATCATCTGTACAGTCTGTACATAAATAACACCCAAATTTTCCACTGTTTGAGAGTGTGGGTTGGAATAATTATCAAGGAAATGACTACGACTATCCTATGACTGTCACATCTAATGATAAAAACAATACTTAAATGTCTAGGTTGAAAATGTCATAGGTGAGATCAGTTCACTAGTTTTTAAGGGGAAATATTACATTAAAACTTGATATTTGAGCCAACTTTAATCGTTAATATAGCATTAAAAATGTATATAATTTGTTATCTTGTGATTCTAGATTAATATTAACATATATTTTTATAATGTGTGTGAGAAATATTATTTAACCTAAGTTTCCATATGTACTGAAATTTATTATGTACACAGCTATATTAAAGATACACATGGTGTAAATGAAATGTGTAATAATGAGTATTCAATTTTAAACATTAAAATGAAAGTATAATGTTAAAGAAATTATATTAAAAAGAAATTACATTTTGTTTGGAAAAATATTTTATGTTATTTTGCCAAGTAAAATAATAAATATAATCTCCTCAAGGTAAGAATTTTTTAGTCTGATTTTTTTTTTTTACTTTATCATTACAAAAAAAATACTGTATTCGCTATTTTACACCTCTATCAAGGAACACTCTACCTGCAAGGAATATCTTAACCAAAGAAGTAAGAGACATTTATCATTTTCAGATGCAAAATGATTACCTGTTTTACATTACAAAGTCTAGACCGCATATCAAAGGAATATATTTAATTTAATTAAACTAAAGCAAGCATAATCTTGCAGCAGGATCGCCGCCATGTTTCACACCTGATGAGAACACCTTGAAGGTGTGAAAATGTATATATATTTTTTCCCATCACCGAATCTGAATAAAGAAGACTTTGATTGTGGTTGGGTAAAATTATATTTCTTTTCAAGAAATGCAATCATGTTCAACCGTACTGTTGGTAATGTAAAACCGTATGCATTTTCTATTACTGAACACCAAGAAAGTTCAAAATATGTATTCAAAATCATCTCCTTTTAACTTTCCCAGATCCATGAGCTTTGAGCAAAGAGTTATCAGCAAGTGAAGATTGCAGGGAAACATTAATTGGTGTTTAGCAGTACTTGATACACAGTGGGACTCGAGAGGGAAACTGAACACTATAGTAACTTATGCTTGTACAAAACAATTACATATACAATCTATATAGACATCCCACTATTTCTGACAGGCTACACCATAAAAGTTTGGGAGCTTGTACTTTACTTGGGGAGAATATGGGAAAATTAAGAAGTTGAGTGCGAACTTGGAGCAGGACAAACTGGAGAGATAAAATGTAAGAGAGTGAACAGCAGACTTTAGGGGTCCGGGAGAGAATTTTGAATTTGAATTGGCTGTAGGGGGAAAATTGCTATACAGCCCAGTGCCACATATTGCTATTTGGCACTATGAGAGTGCTGGGAAACAGTGACAGCTGATTTTTACAAGGTTTTTTTTTGTTTTTGTTTTTTAATAAAATCAACCTATGATGCACATTTTTATATTTCTACTTTGTTAAATGGAGAGTTTTCTTCCCAACTATAAACAAAAAGCCAGCTCCACTCAGAGTCCCAAAAGGTGAAATTAGCTGTCTGTGGTAGGCACATGGTTCACTTGGGCCATATCCCCAATTTTGGTTTCTCATGTTTTTTGTTTTTTTTAAAGTATGCAACTGCTTAGATAACCTGCAGAAAATGTGTACAGGAAAACCGATAAGCAACAATTTTGTATCCTCTTATTTGCAGACTGCTAGAATGTTGTCAAAATAGAATCTGTCAGGAATTGATGTAAAGATGTAAATCTCTTAAAAATAAATCTACCTTAGAGATGAGGTGGTGTATATTTAACAAACCATGATAAGGCTCCCTGTCATTCTCTTCCTTGCCATAAATGGTCAGAGCGAGGAGATAGAGGAATGATAGCATGATGGGGTGTGCTCATTATTGATATCTGCATTAACTGTGTTTACAGTGGAGACAATTGATGCAAGATCAGAATGTTGGGTAGGCGAATAAAATATTTACAAAAGTGCCTCAGTTACTATGAAGATAAGTCAAGAAAAAAAAATATTTCTCAGGAATATTTTTTGGATATTTTTTCAAATGAGCAACACAGCAGGAAATGAGATAAGAAGGACAACAAAAAGAGGAATAATGGTGACTGGCTCACTTGCCTTGTGCAAGGTCTTGCAGCACACAGGCATTTATTTAGGCCCCGGTTACCTGAGTTTATAAAAAGTATCTGGTTCAGGCACATTGCTCAAGGATACAACAGTAAATGTGTCAGAGGAAATAGAAGAATTCTCAGAACACTGCAATATACTTACATTGTGCAGTTTGTAGTACAGGCCACAGGCGTTACATACTGGGTCCCCATTAGCATTCCTCCTCCACAATGTAGTGGTGGTGGTTTGACAGTTTGCACATGATGTACCTGCCCTCCGAGCTGCAGACTGAAAGAGAATAGAATATTTACTTGTACAGAATAAGCACTCAGAGATAATAAAGGCATTAAATCGAAAGCAAACAGAAAAGTGATAGAGAGGAACTGAATAGATTAATGGTGCTAAACAAACACGGGTTCTGCTTTCCCACCTTACATTCAAACTACATGTAATCACAGCTATATATGTATGTACAGGGCTTAGGATTTCAAGCCCTATGTTACTGGCCAGGCCTTAAAAGTTACTTGCCATAGCACACTTACCGGGGGTGAAAATTCTACTCAACAGGGCTACATTGTCACTCATCTATGACTGCTTTCAGCCCTTCATATTTATTTATATGTAGCCCTTTTTGATCCCCTTATATATATATATATATATATATATATATATAAACAACTCCCATCATCTCCACCCAGTATCTCACTGGATGCAAAAGGTGTTATAACTAATTCAACTCCAGAACTTGTCAAAATCCACCGTAGGAGCAAAAAGAAGAGTTACCACAGTGGGGATTCAGATAGTACAATTTATTATATTTATATTTCATTATATATAATGTCACATTCAGCTAGAAGGAAATCAAGGATGCAGTCTCCCTAATGGACTGGTAAAAGGTTTGTTTCCTTTCTGTGCCCCAGCTTCAGATTTTAGTCATGCATATCGTGCATCAGAGGTGATGACATAAGGCCTTATGAGTTGTCTGCAGTTCATTTTCTGATTCCTTTCTCTTTATTCTGCAGCCTACTTAATTGCTTAGTATGTGGAAATCGGTGTTGCTCAGGAGTTATCTGAAGAGTTCAGATTTCCTGCAGATTTTTCCTGGGAAGCCAGCTTCTCATACAAGAAGGGAGTAGGGATAGGGGGGGGTTGCTTCCAACAATCGAAGCTCAGAGTATTCCCTCCTCCAGGAGGGATCTTCCTTTAACTAAGCAGGCCATGTGAAATCGGAATCTCATTTGAAATCTCATTTACTGCAGACTTCTAGAGCCCTTTTGACATGCTGGCTACCCTCTGCAGTATAAGCATTATACACTTACTATAAATTATCATGCAGCAATACAATTAAGTAAAGTATGAATGTACACAAAACCAGTAAAATGCATGTACTGCAGAGAAACGGGATATTAAACCATAGTGTTTCTAAAAGGAGAAAGTTGTTGCTAAAGTTACAGCAAAAACAATCAACATTCTAAACCAATGTGTATATGAGAGTGTACCTTACAAAAGGTGTACTAAATCAATGAACTTAAAGCTGCCATTTTACAAATATTAAAATATTGACCTCCGATAACAAAAAAATATATTTAAACAGAAAAAAATATTAGCCTCTGAAGCATGAACAAAGTGTGAAGCTTTATACTAGTTGAACGGTTTCCTAAGTATATTTCGTAGGCCATGTTCACAATAATCTACTGTCACTTAAAAAGAAGATAATACATTTCCCAGTGTGCACCTGGCCTCTTCCTGCAAGTTTTCTCTCTTTATAGTTTTGCAACATATTTTGTAACAGGTGGCGAAAGCAGGAAGTGCTTTAATTGTGTGCACAAAATATTCAAACCATAATGGATTCTACATCTGGTAGGTTGTAATCTATTTTTATTGATATACATAATACTAAATTACGTAACTAGAATAAAACAGCTATAAAAAAAAATGCACTCACATATAGATCATTCTAATCTCTGCCAATTAATGCTTTGAGATTATTTTTTTCATGAAACACTTCTACTGTAAAGTCAATTGTGAAATTAAATGATCAGAAATCCATTTGTTTAATAATTTGGTCTGGTTCTTTTAAGAATAAGATTGTAAGGGCTTTGCTTATTGTAAAAATGTGGTTCACATTAATAATCATGACGGGTAAGAGGGATTATTAAAAGGGCACTCCATGTCCTAGCCCATAATAGTTTATTGTAGTAGGTATGGTGGAAGAAGACTATGGGTGCAGTTCTTCAGTTTTCTTGTGAAGCTAATTTCAAACAGGTAAAAAAAAACTAAACAAAAAGAAAAACAGAGGATTGAAACACATTCAAAGCCCAACCCCTCTAACCAGTATGTCATGTGATGGGAGGCCCACCTTCCTCTTTATGTGTCCAAAATATTTGCAAAGGTAAACTGGATTTGTTAACCCTTTCAGCCGCAACAAATTGCCGCAGACTCCCTGGGACACAGTACCCATCAACTCTGGTGTGAAGAAGATTCCTCTCCTGCAACTGTCATCAAAACAAAACACTAAGCCCTCAGTGAATACTATCCTAACAACCTACTTTTCTACCCTACCTTTTGTGTCACATTACCCCACTCCCTCTAGCATGTGAGCTCATTGAGCAGGGCCCTCAACCTCTCTGTTCCTGTGTGTCCAACTCGTCTGGTTACAAATATGTGTCTGTTAGTCCACCCTTGTACAGCGCTGAAGAATTTGTTGGCGCTTTATAAATAATAATAATTAATAATGATTCTTTACAGCCATATCTTGCAAACCCACCCAAATGATCTAGTTGCATAATTAGGAAGGTTAGGTGTATGCTCATGACATTCCCAGCTGAGAAGGCAAGTTTTTATACTATAGGGAAAACCTGTTATTAATCAAACCTCCTGAAAGTGGTTTGAGAAAAAAAAGAGGGACTGCACGCATAGGCTCTTTAAAGCATAATGATTACAATAAGCTGGAGTGGTTATGGTGCTTGGAATATCCTTTTAATACTGGTGTAATATAGGGAGTTGATATAATCTCATGGAGCTAGTTGTACTTCTCTCACTATCTACTAAAGGAGTTGTGTAGCACATGAACTTGATGAACCTGTCTTACTATTCATCAGTATGTATATAGCACCACACATGTGATCTGTGATCCTGCGATCGATAAACCAAGCAAATGTGAAAAGATTAATCAAATGGGACCCAGAGTGTCTGTTCTTCCTTACTTGAGAACACTTCTTCTGGTCACTATAACAAGTCTTTTGGTGGTGCTGCCAATTTCCTGCTGAAAGCTTCCCTTCCTGAGCTGGGGAAATTAGAGAAAGAAGAGAGTTGGTTTTTGTATAGTGGAATTTGACTTACCAGTCGTCTTTTGGGTTTAATGAGAGGTCGATTCTGGCCGTTCATTTTGTGATAGAGTCCACATGCATTACACAGATAATGTCCGGTGCCATCTCTCCGCCACAGGGGTGTTGAGGTTGCCCCACAGTTTACACACTCCCTGCCTTCTGAAAACAAGATTACACATGGTTGATTTGAGGAGAAAACTAGTCTATTATCTATTTAGGAGGCTATACGCTTAAATTAACCAAATAAAGAAAATGATTCCATAGATTAAGGGTGGCCAACCTTTTAGCGATCCAGTTATTTATGAACTACAATTCTCTGAATCTCAGCCAGACACAGGGGGTTATTTATTAAAGTGTGAATTCAAAGTAAATTTCACATTTAAGGTCAAAATAGCCGAATTGGAAAAATTCTCTAAGCCAGCTATGCTCTCAGTTCAGCTATACTGGCCTTAAATTTGAAATTCATTTTGAATTACCTTCGCACTCTAACTTTAGTAAACACACCTTACAGTTTTAGGATGATAACGGAACCACATTAAATGGAAAGTACTCAAAATGTTCACAATACGTTATATTCTCAAAGATGGTCATCAATCAGCTTTTTAATAAAAAGGTTTAATAACAGTAAATGAGAACTTGGAACTATATTTCAGGGGGTTTTTTTCCATCGTGGTTATATTAACTAATAATAATTTATCACTTTGGAAATAATAAAACATGTAGCCCCCTCTGTAATAAACATAACCCAATTCAGCTTTTATAATAATAAAAATCACCATTGTCAGATTCTCCTGGGAAAACATATTACTCTAAAACCATATCTTCCGATTTCAAGACGATGACTAGACCAATGATTCCAAATTTATATATTTTCACCAATTATTTAGAATTCACATCTACTGAAGATTTAATAAGCAAATGCTTAGTTGTGATTTATATTTTCCTATAGTTGAGAGGAAAATATTTATTAACAGGCGCAATTTAGAAGTCTTACAAATCATAAAAGAAATACTTTTATAATTGAAAGAACCACCTAGACCTTTTCTTTCCTAATTATTACATAATACCATGTTATTGGCTGAATTTGTCACGCAGACTTTATAAATAGATGTGTCTGCAGCCACCATACCAGTTCTGCGATATACAGTAACGTGCAGAACTCTACCAGCAGATTGCTGCCTGAACTTACCCAAGATTGTTTATCTGTATACCTGCTATCTGCTTATGTGGGACATTTTGTTTTGCATACCTAAATTCCTTGCGTTCTAAGATCTGTGATTCAGCCACATTATACATTGCAGGCAGTTTGTTGTGTAGTTGATTTAGGATAATATTTTATTGTAATTTTACTTTGCCAAGAAAGGTATATTGCTAGTGGCATAACGTATAAATTCTCTTTGCATTTTGACTTGATTTGTACAGGACATAGTTCTAAAGCTACATTTATAAAGCTACATTTATAACGTGTTAGAAACATAAGTCCAGTGATGCAGGTGACAAAAAAATGGTAAGTATGGTAGCATCATGTCATAATAATGTCCATTATGATGACATTCTTGGATACTAACAAATGCTAAATATTCCCTTTCTTGTTAAATAATTTTATATTATAATGCTTACTGTCTTTTTTTTTTAAATGACTACCCATATTTAAAAGACATGTTCTATGGACTTGCTCAGTTTTTCAAGTCTGAAGCACTTGATAGACTAATAAAATTATATTAGAAGATACTGCAATACAGTACTAAATTATTTTGTATCTGTATATATACAGGCAGGTAAATGCTCTTATAACTATTTAATTTAATTAAAGTAGTGCACAATTTCATGAATTTGTCGCGAGATATCTGAGGCATGGTAGATAGTTTAAACTGCATATTGATGCATTTGAAAAATTTTGTCCAAAAATATTCATTTCAAATTGTATTGTCATCAGAAACTATAAGAATAGTTTTTTTTCAATATAAACATATTCTGCTCAATATTTTAATAATTTATCTTTCTTATTAAAAACTATCATCGCCATTGTCCTATCCCGACAAGAAATGCTCAGAAACCTGAATATAAAGTTTTAGGAAATTAAAATATGTATTTCTTAATAAACATTTGAAGTTGCTGAATGTGTATTGATTTCTTCATAAAACAAATAGTCCCAAATTATTCTCTATACTCATTACTAGGAATATAACAATATAATATATTAATTACATAGGAGTGGATAGTAGTTTATATTATATCAAAATTATGCAAATAAATATGCTTGATGACTGTCATTTTAAGATATTATTCAAACACAGAAGTACAATTATATAAATTATAGACAGATTCATGTAGAACAACTATACGTAGACATGCATTGTGTATAACATCAGTTTCTCCTCAAACCCATTATCGCCTGAATACTGGGTTTAAAGCTACGGCTACTTTGTTAATATTTGAGATACAGTAAAAAAAAAAAAAAAATCAAAGGAACAATTTAAAATATGTCTATTTGTTTTTCAGACATCTGAAGAGAGATTCCAGATGTCAAAGAAAACATATTTACTTGGTACTAATATTTTCAATCCATTATTAAAATGAAATTTCTCTTGACTAGAGTATAAATTGTCCATCCCTTTTAGTGCAGTGGAGTTAGCAACTAATCACAAAACTCTGCTCCCCAGTTTTGGCACTTAAGCAACATACTGCAAACTTGTGCATTTACACTCTACAACTTGGCTCGTATAGGCTACTGACATATTGTTTGAAGCTGCGACTCATGGCACCATTTTGTGAAACAACAATGGAATGTTTTAAAAATTTTACAGTACCTATTGTTTATGTATTGGCAAATATGCTACACAGAGCAGTACTTTATAGAGTTGGACATTTAGCCAAAAATGTCTGTGTTATAGATGTATAAATTTAGAGGACATTTTAAACCATTAAATAAAGTTTTCATATTTTGAATGTTCGTATAGATTGAAGATGATGTTTATTGACAAATAAAACAACAAAGAACTTTGCTTTCTAATACATTACAATTAATTCCACAGACACTAATAAAGTTACCTTTAGATTGCCTTTTTTGGTTTTCATAGCATGCACATCCTTTCTGTGGGGTAATTATGTATTTTTTACTATATATTTCTGGAGTTAATTTTAGATGGGTAAATCCATTCCCCCTCACTAAAGCGAGATTACATTTTATGCTGTTATTTTAGAAGTGAAAGCTTATTAATGCTGACTACTCTTTCCTGTGGTAAATAAACTGCATGATTTGCATATTAAAACAGGAAAACCTTTCACATTGTGTGTGCTTCACTCAGTAATAACAATAATTCCAAAACAAAAAGGACTGATCACTAAAATATAGATGTGTCATAAATTAACTGACACTGCATATTATCTGCAGCAATTACCTAAAGTCACTATACATTAAATGAGTGCATTAAAGATATTAACCATAAGACATCTGAATTTTATTTTTCCTTTTGGCAGCTTGTAAATAATACATTTTAAAATATATATATTTTTTACTTTACAACAATAATATTTTTGGGTTTGTTTGACATTTCGGGGCTTTTAAAGCCTTTTAGCTCAGAGGTCTTTAAACAATTAAACATTGTCGAGATTACAGATAACCTTTATCCTAATATACAAAGAATAATGATTAGGAAAACCTCCAGTCCTACTTTTTTTTTTAAACAACATGAAATGCCAGGCAGCAGTTCTTGAAATAACTGATATTTCCTCTTACACAATGTAATTGTGCTGCTTAATAGAGAGGTAGAAAAATATTTATATGTTCTAAGGGCCAGAAAGAAGTTAAACCCATAGGCAGTATAAAATACACTAAAAAGACAGGAGCCAGCAATAATATTTTAGGAGCCATGGCTCCTTGGCTCTTGTGAATGACTTTCCTAATGCATACTGGGCTCCTTGTATTTATCCCCATTAATGATAACATTGCAGATAAAATATGTGTCCAATGTATGTTTGGCTTGGTTTGACCCTTACATTGCAAAGTTTGGTGCATAAACATATCACGCTGCCCAGATATGATATTTTGATTGTCATAATACTGAGAAAGATATTTTATGTTTTATATATATATATATATATTGTGTGAAATTATTTAGTTCTGCACACTTACAGCTATATATTTATACAGTAATTTACCTATATGCAAGTCAACCCTTCTTAAGCTTGCTGCTTGTAGCCTTACACGTGAAGAGTTAATGACGAATTCCCCTTTTTTCCATTTATGACTTTGCAGTTATACCTTTAGTACTGACGCTATAGAGGATATACAAGTAATTCCAGTAATCGCGTGATTCTGCTCTGATATTAAATGAGCAATTATTTTCACATCAAATGAATATCCATTTTTGTTTTGGTTTAAGTTAGCAATAAACTGATTATTCTGTAATAATTGTTGTACACGCTGTCCAGTTTTAGGGAATAAGCTGGCATTGTATAAATCACTTTCTCTAAACATAGTGTCAGTTTGTTTCTGTCTGTCAAACTAAGTATTGTTATTATATGAATCTAGCAGTGCTCAAAGTGTTGGCACTATATTTGCTTTAACATGGGCCTAAAGTGTTATTATAACACCAACTTCACTATTCACTAAAAAGGGTCAGTTGTGTTGTTACTAACAGCCTAGCAAAATTGATAGCAAAATAATAGGTGTACAAATACATTTCCATCCTGCCTACGATTCAGATTTATATTCAGTTTGGCTTTTTAGCTTGGATTTTGAAAGCCAAGAGACAAGTCATAGTGCCGCAAACAGACATCATATACGGTAGATTGATTTTTTTTGTAAAGGCCTTTAAAGAATTGCTGTTTTAAATTGCTGTTTGTTTCTAATCACTGTTTTCTGTTCCATTGCAAAATATATCTAGTTTATTTCAGTGACTGTTAATTTATAAAATGGCTTTGAAGAGGTTCCTTTGAAAGGCTTAGCTGATCAACAGTGGACTATTTAAACGTCCCTGTTTACTTTAAAGGTAACATTACCTTGTCTTTTGTTTGCCATTGAAACACAGGCATTCCAACTTAGTTATGTGTGACAAAATAATGATTTCTATCACCATACCTATTGCACTTTTTTCTTTGTAAAGAAATCCTCCTGAAAGCACTATTGTATGTGGGGAATTAAACCAAATATTTTAAATCGTGGCACAAAATCTTTGCAAGAGGCTGGAAGGCACCTAACTTAATGCAACTTACTGTGCAGTATAGTGGCCATGGAAATAAAACAATGTTTGTTTTGTTTTTCTTTTCAAGTCCATAAACATGCATTTAACTATATAGAGCTGGCTAAGCATTATGGGATTTGTAGTCCAATGATAGCTGAATTGACACTCTTACCCACTCTCTCTCTATGATATTATTTCACTAACTTTATTATAATGCGTCTCTTTGTCACATGGAAATGTGTTTGGTTCATTGGGGTAGCTGCCAATTAGGACATTTTAATCTGTTACAGTCAACTGACACTTCCATGTGTCCCTGTCCTTTGGTGACATAGTACATGACTTGGTATGGTTCTTCTTTTGAATTGCCATAAAGAATGTAGTTTGGGGGAGGTGAATATTTAAACATCCCCAGGTAATGTGTCAATCATACTTAATAACAACTAGCAAGGTATGTCTTTTTTGACATCTGCACAGTTCCTGGCCCTGTGATTGCTAGTACTGTGCTTGTGGTTAGGTAGGGTGCACACACAGAGACATACACAGAGTGCAGGCCTCATCCTGCAGTTAAACAGCTGACAGTTTGCTTGGTGTTGTTGTGATGTAGTAAGCCGTTTAAAAATTCGAGCTGGTATATTTTGCAGTACACATACACACTGAAAGAGTCATGATCACCACAACCACAAAGCCCAACAGTTGCTCAAATAGTACTTGCTATATAGGGCCCACTACTACACACCACTGACCATACAATAGGGGTTAGTTATAAAATTCTGTTCTGGGACAACGTTCTAAACGTGGTGCAGTCACCATGGAAACCAATGGAACGTTCCTGCTGATGGTATCACTTTAAGAACTTCACCCTTGCATTTCCGTTTTGAGAAAAAGCCCTGATCTTTTTTTCCAAAGTATATTTAAAGTTTATTTATCCCTTAATGCAAAATATAACCAATCTAGATATATAGATATTAATGTATCAATTTGTATTCAGACTGCGTGCTACAGTATTTCATACAAAGAAACACCATAACAGCATTAGCTATATCCAAGTAGTTTCTGGTATGAAAAGAGAGTATTGCTGAGCCTTCTGATCGCTCTGTAATTACTCAAATGTTTACCGGAGCTTGCTTTTAAAACCACAGTTAATGTGAGTGCGGAAAAACAACTGCTTTCTGACACTGACCTATTTTACTCAGGTATCTGCCTCCCATCCACAGTATTCTGGCTTCCCACTGACACTGTTTATAGCTATATTGATGGCACTCAATAGGGCAGACATGGCTAACTCCATGTACAGCACTCAGATCTTCATTTACAATTTACTAAGAGCCTCTACTCTCATCAGCATTATGTAACCAATGTGTAGCAGAAAATGGCACATATCTGTAATTTGAGGAGTTAACACCTCCCTGAACCCCGCTATTTGAGATCTATTTGTTTTTAAAATCTTTGTTGCGAAGATCAATTTTTATTTTATTTTTAATTTGTCTTCATAACATAAAATTGGTCAAACCTCTATATCATTAAACTGTCTGTACAATGCTTTTAACTTTTTAAAATATGAAATAACTATAATATGTGAAAACAGCAGTGGAGGGAATTAGAATAATTGTGGATTATTATAAATGTACTGCACAACGCCACCATATGCAGTAGCGCAGAAAAAAAATGTATGTAGTAATTGATGCATGGGATTTGTCATTGTAGTCTTTTACACAAATATAAACATCCGTGCAACAGGACATGTTTCTATTATTACTTCACCTCCATTATGTTAAAAAAAAAATCCATCAGTGTTTTCTATTAGGTCATTTTAACTTTCTCTTTGATCAATTAATTCTTTGAAGGGCTTTACATATTTATAGCGTGTTTCCTAAATAATATTAAAAGATAAGCATATATGTATGTGTGATGGCTTTGCAGATCCCATGCCCTCCTTGTCCCCTGCCCTGTGCCTATTGCATGCATGCTCTCTTTATTCTGATTAGGCTGACCACATCCGGACCCTGTTAAACTCCTTGGCGCTCGGTAAACAATGAAACTGTCGCGTGCAGCAGTCTGAAAATAATTGGATTAACTCAAATATATCAACCAAATAGAGACAGTCCCAGCTCAGACAGGCAAAGTAAATGTTACCCTGGAAAACCCCTTGAAAACACAGATCGTCCCAGGGCTGGCTCTGCCTTTTCAACTTTCACACTGACCAGGAGAATTCTATCAGACCATTCCCACTCAATATATGGACATTCTGTGACAATCATTAACTCTTTATTAATAGTTCTATTAATATTATTATTTATGATACTCAATAGCTGACATAGCTATCTGTTATATATTTATATTCCTTTTGGCCAACATGCTTTTTTTAAATATTTTATTTTTTATTTTATTTTTTATAATTGTATAATAATTTTAAACGTTGGGTTGTAAGATGTTTTCTATAAAATGTATTTCCTGATTTAATATGTGATGTTTGGTGACATCATCATATCCCTCCCCCCCTTCATGATTTGAGTGCAGTGAATTTGCTGCTCAGTGAATCCAATGTCACAGTAAGCATTGTAACAGCCATTGAAGGATTGTGCTCGCATTAGATGGCTGTGCTTGTTTGCTTAAATGCTGATTTCATGGCCTGTTGGCTTACACTGAACCCATATCCAAGCAGGGCTGTGGGAGCCCCTGTAGGCCATTATGCACTTTAATGGGTTAAGAGAAGAGGTCACACTGGTTCCTCTTAATTTGTGCAGGTTGTCATCTTGTACTGTGATTGATTAAAGAGGTGCATTAATCCCCAATTAAATTAAATGTTCCCCATGTGGAGAATGTTGTCAGGTCGCTTTATAAATGATTTAATGGCTAGATGTTATTTACTTTGGGCTTTGACATTATCTACTTTGTGTTTTTCCCCCTAAATCTCTATCTATGTACCAACAATGTGATATCCCCTGTATATGGTGAGAGATGAAAGTTATCAATGAGAACCACCATTAGACAATAGATTGGTCGCTTTGGTGGATCTCTAAAGGTTCCAAGTTCTCAGATGCTGAAGAAACAAATATATCAATAGAAATGGCTACCAAGTACAAAAAGTTGTGACAGAATCCTACCTGTGCTAGAACGTGTTTTGGGCCTTGACTTGCAGGCAAAACTGGTTGGAGAACCCCCCAATAGGCTGCCGGGTGGGAAGAGGCCGGGGCTGTAGTCTTGGACATAGGATGGGTAACTGCTGGAGATAGGGTGATGGCCAGAAGAAGATGGGCCAAGTGGACCCATGTTACTCCTGACATGAGAGGATTCCAGTTTCATGGACTCGGCCAGGGACACCTGGTACTTGACGCATTCCTTCTCCTCCAGGCGGCTGGACACACTGGATCCAGAGGTGGGTATAGAGGGATCCGGGGAGACATCTTTGGGTGGAGTGGGGGGGAAGGTAATTAAGGGGGTGCTAGTATGTCCTGGGGCCAAGGATGATGAGGAAGCCGGGGGGTAGACAGGTATGGGTCCTGGGGAGCCGTGATGGATGGGACCCTTAGAGAAGGGGGTCAGGTTCCATGGGGAGCCATGGTGTGATCCTCCCAGAGCTTTACTGCCATCCAGCCATCCATGCAGAAGAGGGGGGCGGCAAACCTGACTCCCTAAATAAATACACAGGGCAAAAACAAGACATTAGATAGGTAGGTAGGCAGATTAGATAGGTCGGTAGATTAGATATAGATAAATAGACAGACAGATAACAGATTAACATGGTGTTTTGCAATACTGATCTATAGTTTAATTAATTTTAAATTTGAAATGAGAAAGGGAGAGAGAGAGTTAGAGATTATGTTTAGTGACATTTTATCATAGATAATTTAATTATTTGACCATTTTTAATTATAAAATAAAACATACTATATATTTAGTCAATAAAAATACAGTTAAATAATTGTGCCTTAAATCCAGTCACACTGGTAGCCTTCATTGGAAGTTATAAATGCGTGAAATTTCCCTTCAGATTGCGCTTTCGATTGCGCTAAATTATTAAGTACGAAGATGTAATTAAAGTGAGCTGCTATTTAACCTGCGATCAGGAATTAGATAGCTAACCATTGCTTCTCTCGGATATTTTAAGTGAACTGTTAAAGCGCAAGCCGGATATATTTATTCAGCAATATTTATTACTAGATGTTTAATTGTATACAATGTCCAAGTTGATTACATATCTTCCGAGCCATGTTCTGGGTATTTTTATTTTGTATTTTGTATGGCTACATTGCAGAATAACATCTCCTGCGAGGAATACGTTTGATAAACAATGTTGCAGTGTAATATTTGTATTAATATATGGGTAGATTATAAAGCCTTATTGAAATGACAAGGTATGTGAAATCCCATTACTTTGGAATTATTCTTATTTTCTCTTTATTATATGTCAATGTAAAATCGACAAATAAAATATATTATCCCAAAATAAGTGAATAAACAATTCTTTTTAAACAGATTATTCAGGTAAACACAGTGTCAATTCGCAGTAGTATTTGAGTGCAGGCTAGTAAGTGTGTGCTGGTTTAGTAATATTGATTTAGATATCGCACAGATTGCTATTCTGTCGTGGTTTTCAGAATTAGTGCTGTGGTCCGGGTGCTTGCAACAGGTAAGTACTGCACCCGAGCAAAGGAAGAGGAGGGGTGGATTTAGACAAGCAATCGAGTGCAGGAAGCTGGGCACAAAAAGTGCGAAAATACTAGATCACAGAAATTCTTTTTCCTACAACCCTGTTCAGCAGGTTCACAAACTGGATTCATATAGCTGCATTCACAAGAAAGCAACAAGTCATTCCAATAATTAAAAATGAAACTAAACTTGGCAGCACCGTCACACTGAAATGGGTATTACAGTATTTTTTATGTATTTAGTTTGGGCTAAAAAAAAAAATAACGAATATATATTCTATAATCAATATGTTTATAAATAATTGAACGTTTTTAGAAGAGACAGACAGACAGACAGATAGATAAATAGATAGATAGATAGATAGATAGATAAATAGATAGATAGATAGATAAATAGATAGATAATCTTTTCAAACCTGTTTCATGACAGTATACCAGTATGTACATACATTTGTGTTCAAAAAAAGTGCCGGGCTTGCTATTTCCCAGGGTTTTTTTTTATAATAAACTCTATTAAATATTAATAACAATTTCTGAATCCCAGGCTTCTTTCAATAACACTAGAAATGTGATAACAAATGGCAGTAAATAAATTGAATTAATAAGAGTTAAAAACCTGGGTACGTGCAAGTGAGAGCCTGCAGGTTGGTGCCCTAGCTGTCAGCCTGATGTGGCCCGGTGCTGGGAGGGTACTTACCGTGGTGTGTTGTTGGGTACCTCTGCGCTACTCTGACAGAGTTTCCATAGTAGGTAGGTACGTGGTTGACCTGGCTGTCGATGTTGAAGAGCACATCCACCTCCTCGGGCAGAGAGTACTGAGAAGGGTCCATGTAGCTGTGCCCCAGGTGATGGGAGTCTGGGTGCTGTCCATTTAATACGGCCGGGTGGTGATGGTGGCTGACCCACCGGGGCTGGTCTGCAGACACCTCCATGTGCACCAAACCTGGACAACTCTTTCACTTAGACTTCTTAGTGTGCACCAAACAGACACTTTGAAAAATAATCGGAAGTCCAACGGTTTAAAAACAAAAACGATAAAAACACATGTATCCACTGTACTCAGAGCACCTACAAGGGGGAAAAAGAAGAACTCTTAGGATGCACCCTGGACACACTAGATCAGCACATTAAAGCCAGTCCTTTAAAATTGCATGAGTTTCTTTTAATGCCAGCACAAGGTTAGGATATGTAGCAGAGAGATGAGTGAAAAGTAACAAATCTCAATGTCCAAAAGTTGTCCCAAGTGATGTGCAGGATGGTGGCACCTTGGTGAGCAGGAGGACCTCCTGGAGTGGCCAAGGCTCATGCTCAGAGCAAAACTCAGCACACACCAACACACACTACAAAGCTGGAGGGAAGGAGCTATGTGATCCAAGAAAAAAGACGTTGGAACTGGTTGATCGAATCTTGTGTTTTCTCTCTATGTTTTTACAGTGAAGGCATTCTTTAGGAAAGTAGCAGGATGGCGCCAGGCGGCTCAATGCTTGCAGACAGCTGTGGCGAGACACAACTTAAGGAGGTTCCACTGTCATCAGGACTGAGAGGGGAGGGACTGTCACAGAGGAGGGCAGGGAATAGGACACCCTGACTGAGCCCCTCCCCTACTCAGGGTCTCCCCCCGCCCCCCATGGAAACCAGACCTGCACCTCAAAGAATAGCCCTTTATCAGCACACATACAATTCCTCAAATTGTTACAACTCTCTTTATTGTACTCTATGGCATCATTAGATCTATGTACATCCGTAATATACATGACAAACTGAAACTAAACGAGAAATCCCTGGATATGTACTCTATATTATTCACTATTTGTGCAAATTCAGCTCACACCAAATACACACACACATGGATTTCTCTGACACGTCTCTCTTACTTTATATTTTTTCACTTTACTATATAGTTCTATTAATCGTTTAGGAATTAATATAGAAATATAATTACTGAAAATCAATGAATACTCAATAGTACTGTTTCTTCATGTGCACAATCGGTTGTTTTGCCAATTCTTCTATAGTTTTAAGTTTTGAGAAATAAACTCAGTGCTAAAAAAAAATCCTATAACATTTTGCAGCAATAACTAATATTTAAGTCCAGTAGATAATATGGAGAGATCGTAGAATGTGGACATCATTCTTTAAATCGGTGATGTGGAATATTATTCACTGGACACAGGTAAATGTGGTGCGCTGACACCTGATTTTTTTCTGAATCTCAGATTTTTTTTGCCCCATGTCCAATTTTTTTTTTTTTTTTGCCTAACTTTATCCAAGTCAATTTTGAACTTGCCGTTTATTGAATAAACCCTATGATTTAATCAATGATTCCCTTAGAGTACATCATTATTTACGTTTACATGTGTAGCAAACTGATGATCTGCTTAGATAAATTGCTTAGTCCGGTTCGAACACATTTTATGAAGAAACCTGACACTTTTCCTTCACTTAGTATATTTCTCATTTACTGTTACAGAGTGCTATATCTGGATGGTGTGTGTTACTTTGCAAATAACCTGTGTCGCCTGTTGCCTGTAATGAGGGATTCGTAAGAATAAGATGAATTGCGAAATAAACCGGTTCTGGTTAATAGTACTAGGAAGAGGGGTGAAGGGCTGAGCGCTGATTGGCTGTCAGTGCAGAGCTGAGCCCTCCTGTAGCTCGGTGCATTGCGTTACTGCACCCCCTAGTGGCGGATTGCTAACGCACAGATTAAACTGTGTAGCCAAATCTGGTATGGCTCTAATGTCACAGCAGCTAGCCAGCTACAATCAAGGGGCAAATATAGAGCGTCTTACTGTGCACTCTAGTTAAGACATGATGTACTGTTACTATGTGTACAATATCTGATGGGACATTCCGATCTCTGTTCAGTTTTATATTAACCCTTTACTCTCCTATCCCTATAATCTGCTCTCTACTCAACATTCTATGTAGCACTCCAACCTGCTCTCTAATAATCAGCCTCCGTCTCAGAAGTCTAACATTCGAAAAACTGTTTTCTGCATGTTTCTCTCGTTAATGCACTCACTCACAGCTTTGCTTATTGAGTCCACCACTCTATGTCGTTCCCGTGTCTCTAACTCTGCATTCCACTTCTCAATTTGAGTTTCTCCAATCTGATCTCTCTTAATCTCCCCGATCTATACTCTCTATATTAACTCATTTTCTCAGCCATTTTTGTTCTGCAGAAAAGTATGAATTCTCATTATATAGATTTCCTCCCACATGTTCCTTCCTAATAACACTGGAAATAATAGATCACTGACAATATAAAATAGAAGACAAAATCGATCAGATAAGGAGCTTTTATGTTTCTTTCGTGTTGTTTACACCGATTTATGAATGATAGTTCTTGTATAAATAAGAAACTCATTTCCTTCATAGATCACTTTTTTTTTTTTTTTTAGATCCCCCAAACGTTAAATTGTCCAAATCATTTATATATTTATTGTCTAAGTCATATCTTACATGTCATGCACAGTAGGAGCTGTAATTGTGATTTGCAAAAAAAAACAAAAAACATTTTTTTATTTTTTTATTAAATATTTTATAAATGGTATTTTATAGCTAGGGTATTTCAAAGGAAACGATTTAAAGAATGAATTTAGAATCTCCTAGACCATAAAGATGAGCGAGTGGAAGGAAACAAAAGAACAGGTAAGAGACATTTTCACAGTTACCTTAAATCTTGGAAATTAGATAACTGGAACATAGCTCAGTGCTTAGCTACCTGTAAGCTTCATTTTTGTGTACACACTGCAACACAATGGCTAACAAACACAAGAAGAAGGCTGGGATTAGCTGCAGCTCACATTAAAGAAAACACTGGGAGAGAAAAAAAAACTACACCCAAAGGAGCGATACAATACTGCAGATTTATCTCAATCTATCCTAAATGGGAGACACAGAACACATGGCAGACATATCTATGGACAAATATCAAATGCAAAAGAGATCGGATCTAATTGTTGATGTACATATAATACAATGAATTTATCTGCACTGTCCAGATTGATAGGTAATTATAAAATAACATTTTAAAATGACAAAATTATTATATAAAATTACTACATTTAATAACCTAATACAAAATTATTACGTATAATATTCAGATTTAATATACACACATGCATTATTCATTTGCGCACATTTATATGTATTTTTTTTATTATTATTATTTATATATAAATATATATACACACACACATTTATGAAAGTGTTCTTATATGGTGTGTAACTAGACAGTGTTGGTAAAGGTCAATGTGTCCAGTTTGCAGTGTCCATCCCCAGCCTGTCCCCCACACTCCTAGATTGACAGTATGTAATTGGGAGATATTGGGAGATGGGAGGTTGCTCTTTTGATGCTATGCATTGCCTACACTGGCCAGTCTGACCGACGCCAGGAACCGTGACGTCACCGCCCCAGCAGAGAGCCAGGAAATGAAGGCAAGCATTCCATGAGCCCTGGCCGGGAGAGGAGCTCTCACCCGGGAGAAGAGCACTAACCCGGGGCATCTGCTCCAAGCTGAGCACCAGGGAGCCAGGGATCCCACACAGTGATCCAGGAATTCCCATAGTATATTGTAGTGGAGGTACCCAGCACAGTGAGCTCCTCTCCTCACTCACCCTCAGGTGGGGTTTGGATGGAAAGAGCTGTCTTGTCCATTGTGACACACTGTGACACTGGGGGCTGATCTGCTATAGTGCGGCTACTAATTGACCTACTGTGACTTTGTGACTCACTAACACACAGATCGCTTTTTTTTTTTTTTTTTTTAAAGCCCAAACCATTGAACATGTCAATCTCCAGCCAGCCCCAGGCAGTCCCTTGATTGTTTAGGTAAGACATGCAGATAACAACACTATGACAAATATTTATTCTTACAGTTGGGAGGATATTAACAGGGCTAAAATGGGTTATTGTGTTTATTTAATCCTATTATTTGTACACATCTTTTTATATAATTTTCCACATTGCTAATCACGCAATTATCAGTTCCGTTTGGATTAGCATTAAAAGTCAAAAATCGCATTAAATAATTTATACATTATTATGAAGTATTTCTTTATTTTTATTTTTCCCTTTTTTTTTATTTCAATTTAAAAACAGAAACAAAATATACGCACACACACAAACACACACACACACAAACACACACACACATTTATACATAGACATATTGTCGTGCAAGCAACACATGGGAATTAAACAGAAAATATTTATTTATACATATTGTGGTGCAGGTAACAAGGTAACATATGGGAATTAAGGGCGCTGTGTTAGGAGAGTCTATAAGAAGGGGCAATATGTCCACAGGTGATTCAGAGATGGAATCTGATGAGCCCCTGTGGGTAATGTCACCACTAAACCCACTCCACCCGCTCCTAATTGACAGGACTAATAGACGCCTTTGTTTGTACAATTAGCAAAAACAATAGTTGAGAAAAGAAAGCGTTCTCTGTGTGTTTGAAGTTGAAGGAGTTGGAGCTGGGATCCCACTGATTGTGTGTGTTTTCAAGCTGAGAACCATATAAAATAATATAGTGGCTACATGGCCTAGGGATAAAATGCCAAGACAGCCAGATAGACAGACAGACAAGGGGGTGAACATGCCACACAGATCATTCTGATATCCCACCCAGGCAGCCTGCAGCTCTGGGAGGGGAGAGTGAACGTTTCACCTAGACCTGGTCAATTTAAATCACAAGTTATTCTGTCCCAAACTCTATTCCTGTGCTTCTAACGCAAAGACTGCCAAACATGGGCACCCTAACTCCCATCAGGCTTAGCCAGCCAAAACATGGCTTCATTTTACTGTAAGAAAAAAAATAATGTAACAAAATCTGGCGCAGATGTATATATAATAAGGATATATTTATGGATTATTTAATTTCTAGGGGTTTATTCGCTAAATAGCAATTTACTGTGATCTGA